GGTCGCTCAAGATGACCGCTCAAGGGCGCCAATATTGAATGACTTGTTATGTTTAATTAGGAAATAATGTACAATTAAAAGAAAATAACTATAATATGCAACAATAATACCAAATTTTAATGGCGTTTTTCATTGGGATTGCACTCGTGCAGTATTTTCATAAGAGCAATGTTAAAATCTAAAATCTAAATTTATATTAAATCCTTCGTCCTTACAAAAATTTATCCATGCATTTTTTTGATCCGGATTTTTCGGAAACCTGTTTGTGAGTGAAAATTATTTAGTAATTATTGTGAATCTACAATTTCACAATACTATACATATGATTATAATCTCCAAAATAAAAATCTCATTATTGTTGATAATACTAACCGATGAAACGTTATTCTATGATTTCGAGCTGCTGCTGTTATGCCACAAGCTCTACAGTATACCATTTTGATAGTTTATTTCCATACACTGTTGCATAAAAGACTATACACTGCATATTAATGCGTACGGCGTACGGTATGCCGCTTGCCGCTATGCTCGAGTATTCCCTCTCACTTTCAAAAAGTGGTCGCTCAAGATGGCTGCCATGACGTACATCCATCCGCGGATTTGCCTAGTCCTGGCTAGTATATGCTCCCTCCTGTTTCTTTTTACTCAATGGACGCAACGCATTTTTTTGTTTGAGCTTCTTATTCGAATTTTGCATCCAAATTCAGTGTGTACATGATCCGAGTTCTAGTAACTTTCCCTCAGTCCGAGATCTCGGACCGAGTTCTAGTATCGTGGACACAAGGCTTAACTCACCCTCTTCTTTCACAATATCAGCTGATTTCAATTGTAATTGATTATAATGCACTATAATATGTCGCGTGTCACTAAAAACGCGGGAAAACTATCATATCCCCTATAGTACACCTAGACTGAGTTCCACTTGGTGATCGCAACGCTCGTAAACATTATCTATCTTTCTATAACTTTCGATGAAAAACAAAGATAAAATGATTCCACAAGCGTTGCGATCGCCAAGTGGAACGTACCTCCTAGGCTGAGTTCCACTTGGTGATCGCAACGCTCGCGAACATTATCTATCTTTCTTTAACTTTCGATGAAAAACAAAGATAAAATGTTTCCACAAGCGTTGCGATCGCCAAGTGGAACGTACCTCTATAAATACATCTGTGGGCTTGTTCGTTTTAGCTGCACTGGGGCAGCTCTGGGTCTGCTCTAAACAAGATAATACAGGACAAACTATTTATCTGTCCTGTATTATCCTGTGTAGAGCAGACCCAGAGCAGCCCCAGTGTAGCTAAAACGAACAAGCCCTGTGATAGCAGCCGACGTCTAGCTGTGACGTCAGCTTACACATGCGCACGGAGGTTCCGTACGGGAAAAAATCCCACGACGCGCATCACTGCGTCCGATGTCCGACGTACGACGTCCAATATTCAATAAGGCCGAATTCCCACTAAGCGCGTCACGCGTCGCGTTATCCGTTGCTTCACGAATTAACCAATCAAAACATCCCATTTTATCGTATTATTTGCCGCGCGAATAAAATAGAATGTTTTGATTGGTTAATTCGTGACGCGATGGATGACGTCGACGCGTGACGCGCTCAGTGGGAATTCGGCCTGAATGATAAAATATCTCTAGTTAGAATTTCTAGAAAACAAGCTCCATTATTGGATATCGGACGTCGTATGTTGGACATCGGACGCAGTGTAAATCCTCCATAAGACAATCGTTCGATGCGATATTGCTTAACGATCGTGATCTCTAGATTAGGTTAGATTGAAATTGATCGCAATCACTTATTTTCGTAGCGTTTACATAATGAAATAATATCGACAACAAGTGTTATTTCGTACACGTTGAATTAGTTGCAGAACTTATTTTTTCTGGAATTCTCAGAGATATGATGTAAACAGGCTGATGATCGTTCATAATGGCAGATTTATTCGACATCGCTAACCTGATCACAACCGTCGGTGTTGACGGCGTGAAAATCAAGCCGGAGCCTGGATTGCCCGAGAAATCGTCCAATGAAATCCTAACAGAACTTTTCAATACTTTCGACACACCGGACGATGGCGTGGCGTCACCAGAGAACAGCGAGCAGCAAGTTCCAGATGATCATGTCGAAGCCGACAAATTGGAGGCTCACACGAAAAAGAAAAAGCTCAAGAAGAAACATAAACGTAAGGAGAAGAAGCACAAGAAAAAATCAAGGCACAATTCCTCAGATAGTAATAGTGACATAGAGAGTAACGGTACGTAGAAAGCATTATCCAACTTTATGTCACTTTGTAATTTGTGCACTTTTTTTACATTGATCAGGCATCAAAAAGAAAAAGAAACATAAGAAGAAATCCAAACGAAGACATGGATCTATTTCTAGCAAATCGTCGGACTCTGGTCAGACTAAAGCTAAAGTGACAAAACTAGATGAGAGTGTAAAACAAAGCGATTTAAAGTCCTTTGATATATCAGAAAAGGATAGTAAAAATGATGCAACAAAATTATATGATCAGTCACATGTAAAAAAACAACCAGATGCAATAGATAACATTGTGGATGGCACTAGTAGTCCACCATTGCCACCTATTTCAAAGAAAATAGATGATGAATCTGATGGACCAATGATACCTAAACTTCTTGGTTTGTTCTTTGTTTGTTGGTAATTTTTACATTGTTTTTACATTAATTTCTTTTACTTCTCGATTAGATATCTTTAGCTCGCTTTTATACAAAAGAGACAATGTATAATATAAATAACTTTTCACAAATAGAGAAATTAAAGCAACCTTCTCAAGGAAAAATACTGATAAAGGATCTCAAAAATAGCACCGTTTATAGTGAAACGGTGAAAGCTATAGAAAATAAGCAGAAAGCGAAAGCTGCGAAAATGGAAGATGGCGAGTTGTCTGATAGCACCAGCGATGAGAATAGGACACCCACTCTGAGTCCTACTCCGCCTCAAGATAGATCACCGTCGTTAAGCCTGAGTAGAGATGAAATAAGAAACAGAGTGTTTAGTCCAACAAGAGGATCAGTCGCTTCAAAGACTGATCTTAGGTTGGTCTTGAGAGAGAAAGAGAAAAAAAGGTTGGAAAAAAGATTTTTAAATAAAGATGGAATTTGTAATGAGCAGAGATTACAATAATTTTAATTTTCAGGAGCACAAGAGACAAGGACAGTAAAAGAAGCAGGAGTTGTCATTCGCAAGAGAGAAAAAGATCGAGATCACGAACACGATACAGTTCATATCGCAGTAGGAGCGGTGGAAGAGAAAAACAGAGAGGTAGGAGCAAGGAGAGGCGTGACAGAGACAGGAGCAGAGAACGGCGCAGGCATAGAAATCGCAGTGAAAATAGAACTAGAGACAAATATACACGAGGTCGAAGTAGAAGTAAAGAGAGGAAGTTAGTGTTATGTCGAATTGCTTGTGAAGAATGTAGAATTATTTGTGTATCCAATTTACATGATATTATGTTTTTATTAGGGAGCGGATAGAAATTGACAAAAAGAAGCTTTTAGAAATCGCAAGGAGAAATGCTATAAACATGATAAAACAAGGAACTCTACCACTAGCTCAGCAAGATAAAGCTATCGCTGCCATACAATCTGGTGGGAAAACAGTAGATGAACTTACAGGTTATTTTCACTTATACATTAATATCACTAGCATGATAATTATTTATTTTATCATAATTATATAAATTATAAGTATTTACTATTAATTGTGATTGTGTGTATACGTTTTCACAGATTTTTGTAAATCCTTGTCAAATTCTGAAGCATTAGGCGAATTATCTAGTATCTCCTCCGAAGGTGAAGAGAGTGAATCTGAGAAAGGATTCCATCACCCTTTTCTTCTAAAAGAAAGGCCTAGTTCTATCATAATGAATATTAGGGTAGGTATAAAGCCACGGTTTTATATAAATAATATTACAAGATTTATTTATTTTACAAACAGTATCGATATGAAGGCCTTAAAAAAAAAACATCTCTTTCAGGATGCCAAACAATTGCCGACGAAAACCTTTCAAGAAAAAACAACTGAAACATCAAATCAGCTACGATTGCAGTTTCCTGTCTCGAGTGGACAACATCATAGAAGGAGTGGTAAGAGCTTTAAGATATAGCTTGTATCTCCATTTGCTTACTTATATATTTATGCAATGAGATACTTGTCTCCAGAAAACGAATGGGTACCTGTTACTCCAAAAAAGCCAGAACCAAAAAAAATATTTGTACCAGCTTCTACAAATGAGCCACTAGCTATAATGCCACCACCATCTATGCCAGAACAGCCGCCTCCCCTACCTGCACCAACTGTTTTCCCATTAAAGACAGAGGTAGAATAAACAAGCAAACACATATCATCATAAAGTATTATACAATTAATTTACAACGAGACGATTCAATTTTATGACAAATTTTTATTATTACAGACTGTGGACATTGGTTCCATAGTGTCTGAAAAATTGGCAGCTATGAGAAAATTGAGGGAAAATCCGAATGATACAAACGCTTTGAATGCGATGCATCGAGCACAAAACGAGGTAAAAGAATAAAACTAACTAGTACATAATCACCATTGAAGAAAGCATAAATGTTATACATTTGTATATACATGTATACTTTGTTTGTAGATGAAAACCTGGGCTGAAAGTAAGCAGATACCAGGTCAGTTTACTGGAAGTACAGGAGTTAAACTGCTCACACCTGCAGAGCTATCTTCAGGCTACCAAGCCTGGGCACGTAAGGTAAAATTATTATTACGCGTTTTATTCCATTTCACTTCCCAAAATCTTTCCTCAGATCAATCGTACCGAAAAAACCTTGGATGTGTAATGCATTTTCAAATCAAATACTATTTTTATAAACTGTAAAGTACCAAATTTCTTTAATATTTATAATAATTTAATAAGATGCATAATATTTTAAAATCCAATTGAAATCCAATTAAAATTTTTGTTAGGACAATATTTTTGATATGTAAATGCATCTTTGCACACTTGTTCACTTTGATTCCTTTCTCTTTTTTTCCTAAACAATGAAACAGGTCCAATATATCTTATAATAATAATAATAATAATGTTTTAATTCAAGAGACAGCTTGAGTAAAACATCGTTTTGTTAAGATTTTTGACCTGACATTGTTTAGTAATACACCATTGACACACTGATATTGCCTGTAACAAGTTTTCAGGTATAGTCTCTGCTATGATCAATAAAAAGTTGATGTTGGTTTAGTGGAGACTGTATTGTAGGCACAGACTATTTCTTATTTAGAGGTAGATTCTGTGCCTGCATGGACACAGGAGCATTATTTCAATGCAAATTGTAAAGATGGCAAAGATAGAATTGTTCATCAAAATACAGTCAATAAGTTTATTCTGTTCCAGGAGTGTTTTATAGTAAAGCATAAAGTGAAATAAAATTAAATTATTTTATACATCGAACTAACTGTTTAATAGACAATGGGTTCTAAGTTGCACATAAGCACAGTGAATTTTTGCAACCATGAAGAGTGAGATAATGAGCTCTTGTGAGATTACTGCTAATTATCATCAGCTTTCTCATAGGATTTCATCAGAAGCCTCTTAATCGTAAAGCTGGGATATTTAGCATTAGTCTGCATCCACCTGAGGGTTTGTTACAGGCACTTAGTTACATCAGAGAAGAAACAACTTCTACAGGCTGATGCAGAAATTATTGTTCGCTCGGTAAGTATTCTTATGTAAACTATATAACAGATTATTTTAATTATATTTTCAACACTTCAATATTACGCACACACACTCAGAGGTTTTAGACTGTAACTAAGAATATAATAAGATATATCTTCCATGAAACAACAAAGTTAATTTATTTGAAATATGTCCTATCTAATGTACAAGTTTGTTATTATAGCAGTTACATATTGATCTCAAATAGGATATGTAACTCATATTTTGATGCCATGTATACACATGACGATATAATAAAACAAATGCGTTATTTTCTAATCCAATGAACTTAGGATCAATTAGTATCAGCACAGCCTGTATCAGGTGGGATGGGTATGGCATTGCTGCAGAAGATGGGATGGCGGCCTGGCGAAGGTCTAGGCAAGAATAAAGAAGGGGCCTTGGAACCACTGCAACTAGAAGTTAAATTAGACAAGAGAGGACTAGTCTCTGAGCAAGATATTGCGCAGAAAGTTGGCAAACCTATGAAGCCTATGGTGCCAGCCGTCAAAACATTGGAAGGTATATTTATCTTTATTTGCGTGATTATTTTGAAATGTATCATTGCTTTTAGCAAATATGCATTTTGAATGAAATCTAATCATTTGCAATAATTTCACACATTCTAGGTAAACATCCAGTGTCACTCTTGGGAGAATATTGCTCAAAGAAGAAACTTGGAGCACCAATTTACGAGCTTTGTTTTGAATGTGGACCAGATCATAGAAAGAATTTCCTTTTCAAAGTAAGTAGTGTGTTATTATGAATATTTATGTTAATATATATTTTGCAAAAGTATATACATATATATTTTACATGTTACAGGTAAAGGTGAACGGCATTGAATATAAGCCGAGTGTCGCAAGTCCTAACAAAAAACAAGCGAAGGCAGAAGCAGCACAGATATGTCTGCAAAGTTTGGGTTTATTACCTCCTTGAGATCATTTACACTGTTATTGTGCAAAGGAATCGTAAATTAATTTTTATTATATAATATTATTTTTTATTTTTTAAAATAAAATAAAAAGAGTATAACATATTTGGACCTCATAATAGTAATTATACATGTTAATATCATAAAAAGATAAAAAATTGAATAATGATTGTGTTGTTCTAGAAAAATATTTATTAGCTATTTAACTGATTAAATATTAACGTGTATTCTTTTAAGCTTATCTAAAATTTTAGAAAATTGTCATACGTGTATAATTCTTTGGTGTGTGGTATATATAATATACATACCACATATTACTTACGTTGTAAATAAAATGGAACACTTTGGAAGAAATCTTGTTGCAAATTTTTTCTACTTTACGTTCTAAAATATTTTTTAATATCCTTTTATATATCAATAAGATTTTATTTTCCAATATGAACTAGAAAATTACAAAGCATACTTTATTCATGAGAATTATACATTTCTGTCTTATTCGATATAAGATTAAAATCAAAAATCAATTTCCACATTTTAAACAAACCGGCAACCCCCATCAAGTTGTAGGTTATGTTCTTACTTGTGTTCGAAAATTGTCTATAAGACCATCGAGACCACTCGAAAACACATTGTTTAGTGAGTGTTTTTTAATTAATGTAATAGTGCCCTGTCAATATACAATATATATAATGTACGTCAGCGTGACGGCAATGTTTTGAATGTTTTGAATTGTATTGTGCAGCAGCGAAAAACTTTTAAATCGCAGGGGATACTGTTCTTGCAATAATTTATCATACAGGATATGTACATACATGAAACATTGCAAGGAAAACATAATAGTCTTTTTATGTCTCTTAATATTTATATTTGTATTTCGACGATTCAATTTTATCTCCAATAATTACTTTTAACTATAAAATTATATTTTATCTTGCTTCCATATTTCCTTTTATTTATAAAATTTGTACTATTAATTTTTACATTTATTTATAGAAGTTTTAAATTTTATCATTTTATTGTATAAATTTTATTTTTATTACATAAAAACAGGCAATCATCAGGAAAACACCATCAGTTTTACAACGTGCTATGTTAATCAATTACTGGACCCCCCTTTCTTGTTGTGATGGAAGATGTAGGTGCTACAGTTTTCTACGATGATGAGGATGGCTGCTTGGATTATGAATGCCTACACAACAATGTCGAATATGATTACGACTACGCAGAGGCTAATGCAGAAAAGGAAACCCTCTATGAATTGTACCAATATTGTCTCACTCCTAGTTTATATGATACGGGACATTATTTGCTACCTTTGTTGGGTAGCACACTTTTATTTAGATTATTTGTTCACACTCGTAAGATTTTTTTTCTTTATTTAAAAATATACTTTCTTTTCTGTCAATTTGTATCACAAGTGAAATAATTTTTGCTCTTTTATATTCCAGCATACATATCAGATAAGATATTTCATATATTGTCAGTTGTCATAGGAATATTTATTATTCAGCATTATGTGCAGGAGTCCTTAATTATATTAGTGGTATTTGTTCTATTTTCTTATAGTATTTTATGTGTGCCAAAAAAGTATATATATGAATGGGGGCATGGAGGCATACGGATCTTTCTACCATCTCTTTTGATAATTGCATATTGGTATGTCTCAGTGAGTGATTTCTTAGACTACTTTGGGCTTTCAGTGGATCAGAAATCTGATTTATTTTCAGTGAATTCTTGATGCAACCAATAATATGGCACAAATTGCGCAGTGTGATCATGATCATGGCAATGAAGGCGATTAGCATTGCCATTGATACAAACAGTAGTGGCTCGAACAATTTGCCAGACATTTATAGTTACCTGGGTTACATGTTCTGTGGTGTAACTTGTTTGTTTGGGCCATGGGTATCATTTAAAGATTATTTTTTGCTCCGTTGTTCTAATAATCAGGTGCATAAATAAGCATTCAGTTTGAACACTATATGTTACAAAAATGTCTGTGTGACGAATTATTTACAAGTTTTAAAATATAGATAATAATTTTTTTAAATAAAAATCTGTTGCAGACGTACACAAAATGGTGGATAACATGCAGCATTGGATATGCCTTCCTTTCCTTTGTCTTCCTAAGCATTTCAAATTGCTGGACGCAATGGATATTTGTAGATAACTCTTGGAAGTCAGTATCTACAATTTTTAAATATGTAATATTTTTGTCCAATGTGAAAGAGATATTATTCTTTTCATATTTCAGGTGGTTAATGGCTTATAGAGACGCATTATCTTTTAGAACGTCTCACTTCTTCATTTCGTATGTAGCTTCGGCATTACTAGTTTTTGCCGGATTTCCTTTGTCATCGTCAACGATTGTTAAGCCCTTATACATTGAGTTTCCACGTTCCCTCGTTCAGGTTGTCATTTATTGGAACATTCCGATGCATTATTGGTTGAAAACGTGTAAGTATAAAACCATAATATAGTAACAAAGTACTAATTTTATTGACAAAGAAACATATAAAGGAAATCGGTATGTTAGAGATAAAAAGCTGAGTTTAAATTAGTTTCCGTATTGTTTTTCAGATATCTTCCGTCCTAGCATCAAAAGTTTAGGAAAGTTTGGCGCAGTTACCATCACATATCTGATAAGCTCTCTTTTACACGGGTTGAATTTTCAACTGGCAGCAGTATTACTTACTCTAGGATTTTACACGTTCGTGGAGTTTCAACTCAGAGCCATGCTCGCGGACACTTTCGACGCTTGCGTCGCATCCAAACAGTGTGCCAAGCAAAAATGCACGCACAAGTATAACTCTTACAATTGTTGGTGGGTCTTTATGATAAATTTTGCGTTCGCAGGATTGGCAATGTTTCACTTAGCTTATCTAGGTCTCATGTTTGACACGTCTGACGTGCAAGAAACAGGATACAGCTATAGTCACACCATCAACAAGTGGGCTGAACTCGGATTCGCTAGTCACTGGGTAGCGCTGGCTACATATTGTATATATTTTTTAATCAAGTAGCAAATTATTTTATACGTTTAAGACATTCCGCAAATTTTACTGACGAGAGACTTGTACTTAATACCCTTTTTTTTATATAGAAAATAAAGTCTGTAAATTGAACGTGCAACTCGGCTTGTATCTTTCCTTGTATATTTAATAATAAATGTGAATAGCGTTAGGATAAAATTTTAAATTCGAATATTCAGAAGGTAAGTAAAATACATATTCTTTATTGAGTGTATAACGCAATATAAAGTTTCACTGGTGATTTATATGTTCAATATACAATATATATATATATATATATATATATATATATATATATAAAGCACATTTAATAGTTTGTAATTATAAAAAAAGTTTATAAAGTGTGTGTAAGTATACAATGTTAAATAATACTTCTTTCATATTTTATATCCTAATCTAATATTACATTAAATGTGTCACTTTTACAACAAATAGAAACATTTTTGCTTCAAGACAATTTCTTCTCTCTAATAGTCCATCGTGACTAGTGTTACATTTGTAATATTATCGTGCGACGTAATAATCATTAGATCATTAAATTAGCTACAGTGTAATTCTTATGTACATTTTCGGAGATTTATTTTGATGATGCTGACAATTACATTCTTGACGAAATAATTGTCTCTCGTTGCATGTAATATTACAATTGAACACTACGATAAAGACAATGCTCAATTCATACACAATTCACAATATTTTAATAGATACCAAAGTTACAAAGACTTATTATACTTCTATAATTTAGATGGTGCATTTATTTGAAAATAAATAATTGTTCCCTACTATAAATGCTATTCTTTTGGAGCCTAGTGACATATTGACTATTTTTTTTCCCCAAACATCACATTTTAATAATATGTTTCCTTAAACATTGTAATTAGAAAAGAAGCTATGACTTCTATATTTTATAAATGAATATACAATTACTTTATATATATATAGATCTTTCTAATATGTATAAACTACATGTGTATGTAAAAGCGTCTATGCATACGTGTTTGTATATATAAATTAGATCCAGTTTTGAAGTTAGTTAAAACTCTGTATATATACTAAACTATTATTGACATATCTATATTTTTTTACATATATCAACTTCATAAAAAATAATAATTTTTTTTATAATCGTCTTAGATACATCGTTACGGGATTCATAAACAACAATTATCGTTACTCTTACGACTGCCATTTATCTATTATTAATATTGATATTCAAAATTGACAATTCCTTCTTGTCGAGGACAGATTCCGATGATAGAAATTAAATCCTCTTGCAATATCTTTAGGACAATTTTTATCTTTCAATAAATTGTCTTGCTCTATTTATATATCACATTACGACATTATGTGTGTACACAATAAGTAATTGGTGTATGAGCCATTAAATCAGAGATATATTCGTATGCAAAAATACGAATAAAAATAATGCGAAAGTAACGCTTTCTGAGACATTGTACGTCCTGTTGTATACCGTTATGTGAAAAAAGGTGCAACTCTTGGAATTATTACAGACTAACTTAATATATATTCAGAAAAGCCTGGGTACTCGTAAGAGTAACAGCTCAATATTTCAATATTGTACTTAAAGAGAGTCTAAATAGTCAACTCACACTTTTATGTACAATTTACAGAGTGCTTTACATCAGGATACTCAATATCCCTTTGTGTTATCTTCAGGCCAATTAGAATCATACGATAAAACTTTCATGTGGAAGTATTACTTTTAATTCGTTGAATGTATAATATTCAAATTCTATTTGCTTCTGTTTCCAAAGCATGAAAAAATTCTCAAAAGTTTTTGTATATATATGAATTAGTAATAATTTGCATATTACAGTTTCATCACATTTTTTGATATGTTCTGCGCTGAAATAACCGCGATCCAAGACAAATATTCTTGTAAAATTATGTAATTAAATTCTGTGTGTGTGGGCGGGCGTGGGTTGCGCGCGCGCGCGCGCGCGTGTGTGTGTGTGTGTTCATATATACAAAAAGACCTGAAGATAACACACTTCTTACATATCTGTATTAAATTGCTGCTAAAATTATTATTATTTATATAATTAGCACAAAAAAAAAACGTATAGTTAACGCAAAAAAAGAAGAAAAAAAAAAAGGATAAAATTTACATTTCATAATTAAAATTTATATCATTTCTAGATTAAATAAAAGATGTATATGTATAAATATTATTCGCCTTATGACTTAACAGAGATATTAACTAGAGATATATTTTCCATCAAATAACATTTCGGCAAAAATATGTTGTATCAATTATATATAAACTGCACGTATAACACATATTCACTGGTAATTGCAAGTCTTATTTTCTAATGCATTTGTCCAAATTCAAAGCAACAAAAGTAACTTTTCAACAAGTGCCATATAAATTACAGTGTCTCGAGGTCTTTAACATCGCTTTAAACCAACAGTTACGAAACCATTAATGCTCTTCTAATATGTTACATTCTCTATACCATAATAATGCTAAATAAATCTTTTTTTGCTGTAACTATCCAATTCCGGCTTGTAATAATTTCTTTCATACAACAATAAAAGTATGTGTATATATAATACAGGTATATACGCGCGCACGCGCGTGTGTGTGTGTATATATATATATATAAACTTGCATAATATTAATATAACAAAAATGTAACAAATTTCAATTTTGAGGCAATATGCAGGATTCACATTACACTCCTTCTTTTTAATGTTCTTCATCTAAGGGAGTAAAGATCGATTCCTTTAGAAATTTAACAATAATAATTAGTGAAAATAATCAATGAGTATTTTAATTTTAATTTTTTCGAGAAGATAAAAAAATATATATGAAGGAGTGTATATTTTAACTTGCTTTACCATAAAATATATATTCATTAATAAATGTCGCAAAGAGGGTACATGAGGGTAAAATAAACATCTTGGCAATTACAAAAATGATTAAAAACGAAAATCATATATGTAATCGAAATAATTTTTAAAATACGTATCTACATGTGCTTATATTCTGACCAGCAGAGACCAACAGAGGGTTAGAGTGGAAAGATGATAGTAACAGAAATCTGATTCCCTTTTCTTGCAGACATTCAACAATGCATCGCGATACTTTAATAAATGGAAGAACAATTAAAAGCTGTGTAAGCTATACAGAGTGTCCCACAATTCACAAATCAGGATATTGTAGCACAAGTTTTCAAAAAACGAAACAAAGTTTTTTACGATTCTTGAATCCAAGCAACAGTTTTTGAAATACAAATGTTTAAAATTGGTCAACCAATAAAATTGGTTAACTAGTCGCTTTATCCATGAGTCACTAAACTGTCATACACGCAACTCAGGGAACAAGCGATTGTCTAATTATACAGTCCGATTCGCCAGTTTTAAATCCTTATATTTCAAAAACTATTGCTTGGGTTCAAAAATCGTAAAGATCGTTTTTTATTTCGTTTTTCTTTTTTTCTCCCTTCCTCTTTTGTTTCTTTTTTCTTTGAGAACTTTTATGTCACAATAATTCGCGAATTATAGGACCCTTGCATATTTAGATATCACTGCAACAAATTCATATCCCATGATGCAGATATGGCAAAACCATATTTAATAATAATGCAGTTGATAACTGTAGATATATATATATATATATATAATTTGACCTTCGTCGATTTATGATATAAAAGCCTGGGCAAAACTTGCTCAAGTTGAAGAAGGATTGAAGTGTGAAGTGCTTTTTACTGAATGACGGGGTTTAAGCGATGAGATCTTCGGCGCTGGTGAGATGCTCCAGTTACCTGACAGTCCTCCCCAACGCCACTGGGAATATCGGTTAGTCATCTGATAAATGCACTTTTATAACTTTTTGTTGTGCGCGCACTGCAAGTCACAGAAATAAATGATATCGGTTCGTTAGCTACCTCTGGTGCGACTTGTATCGTTGCTTATGCACTAAATGTAACGTACACATTATTGCGAGGCCTGGACTATATATGTATATCAATGGTAAATTTAAACTTTTAACACTTTTCTGTTCAACTGTTATTTGCCCAGGCCTATATAAGATTTTTCGGTTATGTAACGCATGCTTTAACCAAACAGAAACTTATGGAGTCATGCCACATGCGATGCCGATCATTCAATCAATCAATCAAACTCAAAGACACACAACAGTACTATAATTTTAACATTTCAGATTACTGTATTCCGTCTTCTAAAATTCGTACAAAATAAACATCGGTTTAAAACATAAATAAAAAGGTTGCATTATATGAATTTACATTCTATATAAATGAGATGAATATTGAATTTTCGGATTTGTAAAGAAGAATGTTGTAGGGTGTTTCAAAGGATGTACTCGTAGCATGCAATCATTAACCAATACGAATCTACAAAACCTCGTAAATTTTATGTCTACTGCATTTGATGAGCGATGAAATGCAAAAGATGAAAATATAGACAAGTGTTTTTATACGAAAGACACGCGATGACAATGAAGCAAAGCTAAATGTCAAAAGTGGTGGAAACCGGAAGAATGAAGAGGGGTAGGGAAATACAGTTTTTACTTGTATGTCAAACAAGCAAATGTGAAAAACTGCACAACCGTAAATATAGGCCCAAATTCCAGAAACAGGGACAGTTATTAACTTACTGCCTGAGCGAATAGCGGGTAACTCGGTCTGCCGATCTGAGGATCATATTCATGCGTTGTGGCTGTGGTACCGAATGATTAGCAGACGAGTTTGTGGCATGGGCCTGTGCAGCCATGCAAGAAGTACGTTTCGGCCTTCTCACTGTCTTTGATACGGTTAAAGATGTGACAGGATTGGTGGTTGTTGTATTGTTGTTGATGTTATGGCTCTGTGTTGCCGGCTTAGACCTAATACGGCAGGAAGATGGATCACAGCTACTGCTGACCAACCAACTGTTTCTACAATTTCCAGTGAAGATAAAGAGACCCTATGTCTTTTAAACGTGCATGCAATATTGATAAAAATATAATTTATCTTATTGATTTTATTAGAAGCACGTGTTAATAAATGTTTAAGCGCAATTAAAAAAAAAAAAAAAAATTAGGCAGTTGACGAGAGTGATTAGAGAAAGAAAAAAGATGGAATATGGAAGAGTAGACGAAGCAAATTGGAAAGAGAAATAAATGGATAAATAAATAAATAGGTATCTAACCTTTTCACGACTGTTGTCGCGGTGGATCGTGACAGGAGTCTTTTGGTAAGATCTCTGTCCTTAGTTCCAGCTAGAGTACTAATGGCTCCCTTTTGACTTCTGGTTTGTAACAGAGGTCCCAGATATGGACTGTAGATAGAAACAAACATTAAAACGACTATCTCAAAAAAGCTTTCATTCAGATGAAAACACTTTGTACTCACTGCGCGACAGTGGACGTTCCTGTGCTTGTAGTAAGAGAAGTTTGAGCTGACGATATGCCTCTCCTTCTAGCTTTGATTCTGCACAATTTATCACCTTGAGTCAACGTACTGTATCGTGATGTGGTACTAGCCCCGGCTACTGACGGTACTGGATCGTCCAATTTTATTTCGTCTACACGATGCATTATCCCAGACATATTGTCTTCGACTAGACTCTTTACACTTCCTTGAAAGGGGGCTGCTCCTGGTCTACCAGTTATCGAGTATATCCCATATTCGTGCACCGGATTCCCATTTTCGGGTTGCAGCGGCTCCTTCAGCAACGATCGGAGATATGCCTCCTTTCTGAAAAGCACAGCAATTTGTCTCTTTTCTTCTGCTAATAGTTTTCGAATTATTAAGTACACTGTAAATAAAAAAAAAAAAAAAAAAAGTAAAAGGCGACAAATACTCACTTCTCTAGCCACTGTTGCTGGTGTCCGATTACAGAACCTGGCCTACATATCCTTATCCAAGCGATTGTTTCGTGGGCCGTCAAGTGATAATGCTTCATAATGTAGCAACCAATGAGAGAACCAGTCCTTCCGAGACCCGCCTTGCAATGCACAGCAACCGCGCCGCTCGCATTCTCCGCTATTTTGAGAAACTGATGCATTATCGAGTCTGTTGGTGTCGAGCCGTCCATGAAAAATAAATCTTTATGACTGAAGCCTGCATTGGTGAAGCTCGAAGCATCGTAGACCTTCTTATTAAGCCGTATAATTGTTGTTACGTTGTTACGGCGGAAATATGTAAAATATGATTCTGGACCATGCAATGGATAACCTGTAGAAAAATTGCCCTTATTGTATTATTTGATACAGCTATGTCGCTTATTCTGAATTAGTCAAGCAAAATTCAGATACACAGAATTTGGATACATAAATTTTGAAACTTTCACAACATATGCTTCTTAAAACAATCTCTTCACTCTCCACATTCACATTCTATTGTCACTCTCTTGGTTTCTTTAAGCTTCAATTACATGCACTCTAGCGTTTTTTAACGCTTGTTAACATTCATTTAATTGATTCACTCACCAGCTTCTACCACTTTATTCTCTCATAATCACATTCTCTTCCATACACTCCTTATACTGCTGATAACACATCTTTGATTAAAAGTACGCACCATCTTCCATCTTAGATCTTGCATGTGGACCACAGAAAGCGATAAACTTTCCAGGAACAATCCAGTTCAAATCTCCATTCTCGACTTTCTCAAAATGTTCATATTCTTTAAGACAGAAATCTTCAAAATTAAAGAAACCAAGTCGATGGCACTTGTATATAGCACTTAGACAATCCCTTAACGATATCTGATAGCATGGTGGGCCAACGGAGGCGTCACGAAACATAATGAACGAAGGACTATCCGGACTTTTAGTTAAACATTCATAAGCTTCTTGTGCTGTACGTTTGCAATACAATATCTGATGTAACATAAATTTATTGTATTAGTAAACATGTTTTTTCACAAAATTTACTATCAAGCTTCATAAATTCATTGAAAGGTTCTTTCAACAAATCTGTATACATCATGGATTGATCTCTTGTTATAGAAATTCAAATTGAAAAAGTGTTACTATCATTTCAAATTCTTCAATCGTGCTTGCTTGTAAGAACATTATTATGTTTCCAAATGTTTTCCAATTGAACAGTTTTAGATTCAGCACATATATGAATTTTCTTTTGCTGGGAAAAAACCTCTAAAATTTCTTAACACCTTTTGCTTGAAAGAACCTCTAATCAGGGAAATTATAAATAGAAAAGATTTATATTACCGCATAACTCCCCATGAGAAATGCAGCATTTACTCTCTTCTCAGAATCCATTGTTGTATAATGTACAAGTTTCTTCTTGCTAAGCGCTATACCCTTCAACTTCTTGTTAACCTTTTGGCAGTATCTATACAGCATGGCCAGATTCAGGGGACCAAAATCAGCATAAAAATTTTCATATATCAACTCATTATCAATACTGAAGTAGTGTGTGTTTGGAGTACTTTTTGGTTTCATTGTTGTTCTCAGTGTTACAAAGTATAGTCGATCTAGAAAAAAAGAGAAATTATTTCCCACTTTGCGACAAATGAAAGAACAATTTTATTTTTAATTTTAGAAATATGACGACTCTTTTGTCCTATAGAAAAATTCAAGTCCTGCAAAATTTTCCAAAATAAATTAATAAAATAATTGTAATTACAAATGCATTGATAATAATAAACATTATTTTAAAAATAAATGTAAAAAGATTAATATTGTTGATTAGTGATCTTAATATTAAGTTCAATAAATTTACAGAGAAAACTCATATTTTCATTAAAATTTAAAAACTGTTTCCATCTCAGATCTTGAACATATCTCCCTTCAAAAATCAACAAGTTTTTTACAAAATATCTTTCACACTATAATTGGCAAGTAAAAGTCGCAAGGAAAAACGCATCTGTGTTCGTATATCATTAAAAATAAATTCTAATCCGAAATAGCTGCATACATACTGGATTACCTTTTATGAATTCAGCTGCGCATACCAAGACCTCGTTCGCGTCCTCCATCGTGATCCAGTTGCAGGTGTACGGCGCAGTAATATATACCAATCAGGTGGATCTGTCATCAGCGCGACGTTGATGCAAATGACAGCGTTTAATTAATGCGATGTACGCAGCACGCAGTAAATCACGTAGAAGGGTTAGAGTGGGTGGGCAACTAGGCGAAGTCTGGTATACTCGCGATGATCTGCCTACGCGAATCTTTACGCGCGTAAAATCTTCACGCGCGACACACTTAACGCGGCTGTTCCGCACAGCTTGCCAAACGCTCGCACTTTCAATTATATGTGAGATTTGTACATAGTAGGAGAACGTTCAACACTTACTCGGATTACGACCGTTGCGGAATTCAAACTCGAGATGGAGCGGAACCGGATTCGGCGATGGCCGCTGATGCCGCGGGCGGGCGCGGGCGCGTCTCGCAAATCGCTCTTTCCCTAGCTGTTGCCGCCGATCGGGGACGTTTCGCGTTCGTTATTTCACGCGCATTATACTCGCCGAATGTTCGCGTCATCGGGATCTCAGCATCTCGTCGGGCGAATCTCGTTGTTGTTGTTGTCGTCCTCGTCGTCGCCGCCGCCGCTCACCATTATCCGCCAAGAGTCGAACGGAACGCAACTTTTGATTCATCCGCCATGTTGCTCATTGCCCGCGCGGCGGTGCCGATGTTGAGTCGTCGTTGATAATATTGCTGTCGATGAAATGCCAATCTTTCGATCGCGATCGCTACGGACATCACGAAACGGTCGCGATTTACGTTTACATAAAAATCGCGCAATGACAAGCAGTCGTTTTCGTTGTAGCAATGGCAGTGATCCTACCAATAACGATGCTTTCCGCTGTGTTCTTCACTGATGCGGTAATACGGTACAACTATACAAACGAATGACGCGAATTTGCGCGAATGCGCGCGCTCGTGACGATTCAGCCGGCTGCAGACGACGCGCTTTGCTCTTATTAAAAAATTTCGCAACGAATGTCGCATTGTCACGCAGATTCGTTGATTGTAGGGAATTTGCACTGTCAAAATAAAATGTGCTTTCTAGGGATTTTGATTAACGTCTCATTGGTCTCTTACAATAATAAGGCCGAATTCCCACTGAGCGCGTCGCGTCACGCGTCATCCAATCAAAACACATATTTTATATGTGTTGTATAATACATATTATACACATATATGAAATGTGTGTTTTGATTGGTGACGCGTGACGCGACGCACTCAGTGGGAATTCAGCCTAATCAATCAAAACATCCCATTTTATTGCATCATTTGCCGCGCGAATAAAATGGGATGTTTTGATTGGTTAATTCGTGACGCGACGGATGACACCGCGCGTGACGCGCTCAGTGGGAATTCGGCCTAAATGCACTCCAAAAAAAATTGATCAATTACATGCCTAAATAAATCTAAATTTACGTGATTGGTCGATATTATGCAAGCTTATGTGAATACTCCTTAATTGCGGTATCACATTGTATATTTCTGAACGCAGTTGTGTCGTTTGTTTTTAAATTAAATACGCACACATGTTAGGTTATAACGATTCACATGAGCAGTGGGATTGTTTGGATCGGTATTAGCATCGAATAAAAGGAGGAGAGAAAGAGAAAGATTGATAGATTTATTATTGTTAATCTATATTGATCTACATCGATTACAGTGTACAGGCGAAAAGACATAATCAATTGACGAGAGACAATATATTGACGAGCTTTCGTTCAAGTGGTACGTACAAATGTTATGTGTTTCTTTTATATTTTGTTTGATGCAGTATCTCATATATATATTTCTGTAATTACGTTATAATATTTATTAATTTTGCAGGAATAAAAGTGAATATCTTACAAGATGGATAAAATAGACGCTATGGAACTTGATGCTTCAAAAATAAGCACAGTCTCTAATTCCTTTGTATTCTCTAAACCCAGTGTTATATTTGATTCTTCAAAAGTTATCAATTTTGGCTTGGGATCAGATCATGTCTTTGGTACTCCTTCAAATAAGAAGGATGTTTTTACTTTTGCCACACCTACAATAGTATCAGAAAATGATTCAGATTATGCAAACTCACAAATGAAGAAATTCATCAAACGTAAGTCAAGAACTGTATATAAGCCTACAGTGAATGTATTCGCTAATGCCTTGAAGGATGCAGGAGCGTTTGAACAATTGAAGAAGAATTCCAGGTCACAGCCTACCAAAATCGATATAAACAACTCAATAACATGTTCCAATGTTCCCAAGACCCTGTTGACTAAAACAGCAGCTAAAGAATATTTCACAAAATATGGAAACATTGTGAAAATAACTATACGTCCGCACAAACGTATAATCATTGTAGTTTATACATCAAAGATGGAAGCGAACAATGCATATTACAACATTGGTAACTATATGGGTGAAACATTTCATATAGAATGGACTGGATCGTCAGTGAAGTCGCCGATCAAAAAAAAGAATCTGCAAAAGAATATAGTGGCAAATCTACTTACATCAAACGATGATGAAATTAAAGCTGAATTAGAAGCCATGTCAAATTTGGAATATAATTTACACTCTAGCAAAAAAGTTGAACCATCTGATGCAGCTGCGTTATTTTCGATAAAAACCAAAACGTCGGTAGGAAAAACAGCAATCATACCAAAATTAGAAAAAGTTGTGAAAACTGCTGAAAAAGCAGCAAAAGTTGCTGAGAAGCCTATGAAAGTTGAGAAGCTCGACGTTGAGAGTCAAATAGCTAAACTCTTGCCCACTATTTCTGTAGAGGAGTTACAAAATATAATACATCAAATTGCTCTTACAGCTGAAGACAAGTACAAAGTGCTGGAAGCTAGAGATCGTCTCATGCGGCTGAAGCGAGTAAAACCAGCTTCGCTAGCAACTGCTAAAGTAACCAACGGCACCTGCCCCGATATGTGTCCGGAAAAGGAACGTCTCATGCGCGAGTCACAGAGGCAAGTTGCGTCGTACGAACAGCTGGACGGGAACGAGTACAGAATAAATCATGCGATGGCTGTAAAGCAATATTCGAGATCCTCCGCGGACCAGGAGGAGCCGATGCCCCACGAATTGAGACCAGTAAAGTCCTTGAAGATGACTATGAGCTACTTGCTTCATGAGATAATGGACTTCTGTGAGCAGGAGGGCACAAACCTGGCAGAATGGTATCACTTTCTGTGGGACAGAACGAGAGGAATTAGGAAGGACATTACGCAGCAGGAGCTGTGTTGCGTGGACAGCGTCGAATTGGTCGAGCAGTGTGCCAGATTTCACATAGTATGCTCGGAGAGACTTTGCGCAGAGGATGCATCCGTGTTTGACAAAAAGATCAATTCCGAGAATTTGACCAAGTGTCTACAGACATTGAAGTACATGTATCAAGATTTGAGAGTGAAGGGTATCACCTGCGAAAACGAGCCGGAATTTAGAGCTTATGTTGTCCTGCTAAATTTAAACAACGGTAATTTCCTGTATGACTTGCAGCAGCTGCCGAAATCCGTGCAGAATTCACCGGAGGTTCAGTTTGCGATCAAGGTATACTTCTCGCTGGACTCGAACAACTACTACAAATTCTTTAAACTCGTCCGAGAGACGACTTATTTGAACGCTTGCATCTTGCTGCGGTACTTCAATCAAGTCAGACTGAAGGCTCTCTCGATAATGATAAAGGCATACTGCAGAAGCGTCTCGACGGCCTTTCCGCTGTACGAATTGATAGACATTCTTGGTTTCGAGGACGAGAACGAAGCTAAGTATTTCTGCGAACAAGTGGGACTGAACTTGTCGGATGACGAACTGTATGTTCTTTTGAACCGTCTGAATTTCAGTATGCCTGCGGCGAGCATTCAACAGAACAGGGCTTGCAATTTGATAGAATCCAAGAGGATCATCTTGAACTACGGTATCGGACAGTGTATTGCCGGTAGAAAAATGCCGGAGAAGACTTACAAGAATCACAAGCCGCACAATAGTTTCGATGCACATGGCAATTTGATGCCTGAATCCATCAATGCTGCAGATCAAAGCGGCGATGTCTCGTCTGTGGAACAATACGATCCCTACGAATTCACAGGGAAGGACGCGTCGAAGAAGATACCAAAGTTGACGTCGATCCGGGAAAATCAGAGAATCGTGAAGGATCTCGCGTCAGTTAAAAAGCAGTCATCAAGCAGTGAATCAAATATATTTAAGCCCGTATCATTTTCCGGATCGAATGTCTCGATTGTCTCTAAAACGCTGATCTCCGACTCGGGTACGTTTGTTGAGCAAAAGGTGCAAAGTGCACTTGAGAATAAAGTTCTATCTTCGTCAAGCGCACAGGTGAGAGCGGCTGCCGACAAGCAGTCTGGCGATGAGAATGTGAACAAACAACAGCCTGCGGTTTTTGGCAACATTAATTTTGCCAATCCATTTGCGAGCAATCCTACTGTATTTTCTAAACAGCCGGAAACATCGCATAATGCAGAATCCACCGCACCACCGTTTGCGATGACTGTAACCAAGAGCATCTTCTCTGGGACAAAATCGGCAAATATATTTGTGAAGAATGCGACGCCTGTCTCCTCAACGTTATTCGGTAACACTTGCTTCTCCGCACCGGCCTCCGCGCAAATACAACCGGCAAGTGCAGATATTGCGAATAAAATGACGAGGGAACAGAAAGACGCGATATCGGAGGCTGAGAAAGCGAGACTGAACAAGTTGGAGCACGCGAGGAGAATGCAACAGCTCGACGAGCAGTCGGAGGAGATTTACAACAGCTTGCACGCGGAGGTAACGCGTGAGCTCTGCTCCGCCGTTGCGAGGGAGGACATCGACAGGATCAAAATGTACGATACATTGAGCAAGAGAATCCTCGGCGACATGGTCGACGAAGTCACTCGGGAGATGTGCGATGCAGTGTTGGCCACAGAAATTGAAAATCAACGAAAGTTACAAGCTATGTTACTGAAGATTAAAAACCGAGTGATTCTCAAGTGCTTCAACATTTGGAAGCAGTATGTGTCGAAGAGGAAACATCAGAGGAAAGCGCTGGAGGACACGCCGGTTTGGCTGCAGAGACAATCCGTGGAGGAGTGCGCGCGAATGCTCTACTCCAAGCAGCAGAAGATAGTGGTGCAAAATATGCGTATGAAACCGAGCGAACCAGAAGACGCGACGAGCAATTCAACAAGTCCGGAAAAATCGATTGAAGTTATCGTGTACGCCGGTATCAGGGAGAATCTACGATTGTTGGATATCAATCCCTCGCCCAATATCTTCTGGAAACTCGTTATCTCCTGGCCGGACTTGAGTAACAGAACGATGTTGTGGCATCATAAGAAGACGATGAACCAGTACTTGTATCCAGACAATTTCACGATGGATCCCATCGTGAAGGTCTACCGACCGAACTCGTACGAAATTTTACACGTTTGCATAAGGCACTTTGAGGGTTTGATCAGCGACCGTAACTTGGTCGGCACCGATGCGCTTCTGTTCATCGCCGACGCCGCGGAGGATCATAAGTCTGTCGCTAAGCGCTTAATGAGGGCCGTATTGTCAAGGCACAAGCTGATGCCTATCCCGCTCGCTTTCATCATCTTGAATGACGGAAACTTGGAGAATCAGAATGAGAGCGTCGTCTCAGTTTTGGAGTCTCTTCTGGAATCTGGTTACGTATCGGAGTACACAGTTATGCACGAGAAGAATTTGTCCGCCAAAGTGATTTTAAATTTGACCAAGAGCGCAGTTTTATGGTTGACGATGAACAGATCACCGCCGAATCCGCTGGAAATGGATCATCTGCATAATGTATACGACATTTGTCTGTCGGAAGAGTTATGGCTGAGGTAAGCTACTATTTTTCGCTTCTCGTATAATCCGATTGTATTTCGTAATATTTTACAATTTATACGACACACAATTCGACATTTGTTTTATTGTAATTTCCAGGATATTAGGCGATGCCATGTTCAACAAACAGTTGTCAAGTGCGTTAATAAATCCCAATTTTGTAATTGATTTGCACAACGAGGCTGTAAATCATTTGATGGACATAATCTCCGATCCAGAATCTATGTTGTACACAAGTTTCGCGCCCGAGTTAAAACGGTTTCTCAAAAGTAATCGTACCATGCCGTGCAGTTACGAGTACTTGGACGAGTCGTGGAAGCGAGATGAATACAGAGCAAAGTTGGAGACCGCAATGAACAGTTTCACGTTACCGTCGTGGAAGTAAGTGATCTACGTGTGTGTGTGTGTGTGTGTGTGTATTACTGTAATTAATTAGATTAATATATATCTATATATAAATTCTAATAATATTTATATTTTTAATATTTATCCTGCTTATTTTCAGCGCGCCATGGCCAATAGAAGATATACAAGATCTGCGACGGCATATCATGCATTATTGCAGAAAAGTGCTACCAGACTCGAACTGCAACATCGTATTCTGCGATATCTTAAGCAACTTATTCATGACCTCAGGCAGTTTGCAAGTATCCAGCTTTGTACAGATACTACTACATATTATTAAGGAGAAAGTACGTCTCCTAGACGATCAGACGGTCATTTATAACAGAAATCACGTCAAGCATTTCCGCACGTTACCGTGGTGGTTTAAATCTGACGTATTGACGGAATTCATATCGCATGAATTAAATGCGGACAACAGCGTGTGTATATTAAATGAACCGGCGAGGAAGAGAAAGAAACTCGACGATAGATCCGTAACCGATTTGGATGACGATGCATTGGATGAAGAATTTGATTCGTTAGCGAAATTTTGCGAGGATACCAGGACTCAAGTCATGGAGGTGCATTCGGCATCTCAGGAGATAGAAAACCGTTTGCAAACGCAACAATTGGAGAACACATTATTGGAGGAGAAGTTGAAGAACGCCTTATTCGAAGAAGTAAACTTGATAGAGAAAGGCGCGTGAGTTTCTATTCTCTATTCAACTGTATAATACAAGTTGATGGTATTTTTTTTACTGCATTGTAGACAACATGTATATATCACGTGGCGATTAATTGTGGAGCATTATTTTTCAATTATATACCTCATGTTAATTTTTACATGTATAATACGCGTACATAATTTGAGAAGATACTATTAAACTACGCTATATTTTTATTTAATCATACAAATATTTCTAATCATATATTATGAGAGGATAAGTGTGTTATTTTTAGTTTATTTTTTATAACGTAATCGTTTTATACAATATGTAATCTGTAGAGTTGTATGATTCGGTAAATATATATTTTTAACAAAACATCGCTTTTCCGTGATCTTAAAAGTATTGTCATTTGATATTGTACATTCACATACTCAGTGTTAAATTTTTCGTAGTGAAAACAGAAGAGAGAAAGTAAAATATATTCTGAAAAAAATTAATACGATCAAATATATTAAGAAAATTATTTATTATAAATTAGTCACATGCATAAATATTGCTTTCCCTATATTTATATATCTTTCTTCGATTTAAATTGTACATTTTGGATATGATGATTTTGGCGCACACAGCACATGAAATATTTTATATATTAGTGTGTGTGTGTGTGTGTGGAGCGCGCGCACACACACGCGCGCGCCCCAGCAAAGAAAGATATTTAATATGGGATATTATTTCATTTATAACAAGATTATGTATTTGTCAATAAACTAAAGTCAAATGATGCTATAATACAAAGTTTAGTGACATTATATACAGAATATAATACAAATTACAACATATTTGCTTCTTCATAAGAGAACTTGATATAATTTTTACATATATAATCAGTGCCGGATCTACACATAAGCTAGATAAGCTACAGCTTAGGGGCCTCACATTATAAGGAGGCCTCTTTAGTATAGAAAAGATTTAAAAAAATGTATCTTTTGTTAATAAGAGGGGGCCTCCTTAAGATCATAGCTTAGGGGCCACAAAATCGTACATCCGGCCCTGTATATAATCATATAAAATTTTTAATGATTAAATTGATTTCATGACTTTTCTGGTTCGTGAAACTTTTCACTTCACTACTTGTAGATATTTATATTTATTTATATTTTGTCATAATGAAGTTAATTGGGATAGATTCAGGTAGAAGGTGAACTATATATCTTCATTTGGTTTCGCTATATTTTTGATTTATTCCTCTAATTCGAGTTTCTATTTAGAAAATAAATATTACACAACCGTAAGAACCGTAAGATATGCTATACCATCAATGCATAGGTCTGTTGCAGAAAGAAAGAGCTTAATTTATTTAATAAACATAAAATTATAAGTTGGATATAATATGTTGTCATAAAAAAAATTTTACACTACTTGAAAAAATTAACACAGTATAAAACACACACATACGTGCTGCGTCAGATAATTACATGACATTTTGATGCTCATGTGGTGTCGTTCTATAAATGTATAAATTATTATGCATATAAGTTATAATATAAATAGTACGTAAATGTATTTAAATAGCCACAAGATAACTATGCATACTTAATTCGCATAACAAAAAATCAAACATATTTATTGGATATAATACACTAAATGAAATGTATGCCAATTGTATTTATTTTAGAAATTTAATTTTAAATCTTTATAAAAAATTTAACTAGTTTAGGGATTTAAGCGCAATACCGGCGGCTATATTTCTTCATTTTTAAAGCCGTCATAATCGCCATTTTGTATTTATTATGTTATAAAACAGTGTGACGATAATGTGATAAGAAATAATATTCAAGACACAGTCACAGAGATCAGATTTGGTGACAAATATATTCGAAACATATTCGAAACTACATAAATTCATTTGTAATTGAGATAAATGCGATAACATAAGCATTTTAAATAAATAATTTTAATTTTATTTCTTATACCAAATATAATTTGAAAGTAATCGCATAGTTTGCACGGTTCTAGAGGCTCGGATAAAAATACAAAATTTTTCAACTGACAGTTCTGAATACATCGAATTTCGACTTCATGAACGAATATCAACCCTACATCACCCCTTCGAATGAGAAAGATAATCATGAATAAATCTGAATTAACTGTGATTAAAGAAATAAAATTAAAATCAAATATTTTTCAAATTCCTTCCTTGAGCTTGTACAAAAAATTGTACTTTTAATCGCGAATCTGAAATTTTACCAAAAGAAGCATCAGTACATCGGCAGGAGTGATTCAGGATTAATGATTTGCTGAAAGCAAATCCTGAGTGGAAGCTTTATCAATAATTTACGGATAGGGAAGCGAGCCTCTATGCACAAACAGACAAGCGATAACGTACAAAATACCTAGAAGCATATTTAATGTGGCTGTTCGTTTAGGCACATTTTGAATTTTATGCGGATTACGGAATTCTTTCTCTATTTCAAAGGCGGCCGGCAGAGTGATCAGTGGCAGTAAGAACCATGCGGAATATCTCAATGCCAGTACTACAAGAATTATGTATGGTGTAAAGAGTAAAAAAGCATACAAAACATGAGACGCGGTGTGACCTATCAAGATCGCCAGTGTTATGATCCCTGCTCTCTTGTCGCTCTCCATATCTCTCGTGTTGTTGCTATGCAAAATAGCCTCAGTGTTTAACGCGAGCGGTATCGCATAATAAATCGTTCCTAATTCAACGTGACCGGTTTGCGCCATGAACGCGAATAGAACCGAGATCGGACCAAATATAACTAAGATAAGTACATCCCCCAAAGCGATATATTTCAACCCTATACCGCCTGTATATAGAAAAGAAGAGGATAAGCCTCCGAAATATACAAAACCTAGATGCTCCACCTTTGCAGGAGAGACCAATGTCAGCACAGCAAATCCTAAGCAGCCTGCCGCGTATAGAAAAGCCCCCAATGAGACCAGTTCGTCTTTAGACAATAAGTGATCTACTAATATTCTGTCGTCGCTTTTCCGACTGTCGACGCCCTTCACATAGTCAAAATAGGTATTTACTACGTTACCAGCGCCATGTACACAAAGTACTGTAAATACGGTAAGGATCAGAGATATCCAGCTGAAGCTTGCCAGGCCTGTCAGTCGATACGCAAGCGCCGATCCGAGTAGCGTCGGCATCAGCGATGCGCTCAATGACCATGGCCGAACTGCCAGAAAGTATGAAGACAGTTTCATAAGCGGAGAATTCAAGGCTGACGATGTTGTGGAGACTGTGTTATGGACATCATTAGCTATAGAGCTGTCCTCAATTTCCTTAGCTGGGCTTTGAACACCGTTGGACATCATGTTTTGTGTACAATCCTGGAAATAATATCGTTATTTAATTATGGTTGAAGTAAAATCAAAGCTAAAATTAATAATAAACTGCTGACGAGAGAGAGAGAGACACACACAGAGACAAATTCTTTTTACAAGCTTCAAAAAGCTAACAAAACAATCCTGGATTTCATATCATAGATCTTTTGTTATATATGGTTTGAATGGAAAAATTGCGTGTTCAATAATACATTCTTTGCAATTTTCAGAGCTTTACAACTAATCAGAATAGAAAGCAAATTACCAACTGAGTGATTGTTTAATACACGACATTAAAAAATACATTTAATAGACTGCACGTAACGGTACCCGGACTTCACACGTGTACACGTTGTGCTGCTCATACGCTTCCACGTGTAACTCTTAACTCTTGCGGAATCATAAAAAGTACAAAGAGTCAAGAGAAAAAGAGCGCACGATAATACATACGAGCAACAGGATGAAACCAAATATAAAAGTTTACAGAGTAACAAACGGTAGCCTATCCTGCCACTACTGCGTGTTTACGGTGCGCGACAAGGATACTTACTTGAGATTCCTTCGAAGATAGACACAGATGAAGTTAGGTTAAAACGCTTTCCGTGGCAACTCGAAAAACGCTCCTCTCCTCGCGTGTGTACTGATTCATTGTAAAAGAAAAGGAAAACAAGAAAATTAGGAAAAGATGTTAAAAAATGCGGCTAAAACATAAGAGTAGCAGCTTCTCTGATCTAGAAATGCGACAATCTTGTATTTATAGGCGTTATATCAGACGTTACGTATGCTCATCTTATGGTTATTTCATAAAGTTGGTCGACCTGTCGATGCGTTCCAAAACACATCAAGTAAGAAGGCATTTTGACGTATAATTCACTAGATTATTGACCAATAATGTCATGGATACTCTAGTAAATTCGTTTATTCTTGTAATTTTTACTACATGCGTGACATTCCGATGTCCAATAGCATGCTTTTTACATTTGTTACTTTTTTTTACATATCATTCTTAGATATGTAAATTTTTGTATTCTTCGAGGATTATTTCTACATACGACGTCAAAACTGAGGTTTTTACATTTACAAGAGGGAGTTTGCACTCTTGATTCTCATTCTTTGAATTCACGAATGTTTTTTGATACGATAGATTCAAAATACTGCTGTGCGGTAAGTTGTTTTTATTAAAAATTATTTAATGTTTATTCTTACCTTTATATATTTTTAAATATATAACATTTAAAAATTTATTAAGGCTAATGTGTCAAACTTGTTATTCATATCGAAAGTTTTATATATTTGTAACTGATGTGATCACAGACGACCTCTGTTCATCTAGATCAGTCTCAGTTAAATTCTTACAATAAATTAACGCGTTTAGCACAGAAATTGCCCACATTGGAGTACATACAACATAGTTGGCAATTAATCTGTAGAAACAAACGCACGATGTTCAATTCTTTAGTTCAGTAGTCCTTTTATACAAAAGAAAAAGAAACGACTGTGATTATATTGGTACTAATATAAAATATGTTTGGCACTAACAACTAGTCCAGCTTATTAGCTCTAATAAGCTCTCATAAATTTAGAATGTTGAATTAATTAATTCTTAATTTACTTTTTTTTAAAATAATTTCTATTATAGCAGAGGAAAATACCGAACATATATTGAAAAGAAATATTACATGTTGAATCCATTTACACCTGTAAAAAATGGAGATGTTATGTACTGTGGGAAGGATAGTTGATATATCTGAACCAATATTGGCAGAAGACAGCTCATTTTCTAGACTGGCGTTATCATTGACAGCAATCTTAGAACAGTTAGATAAACGAGATGATGCTACAACTCAAGATTATCTCGTTGCTCTGCTGCTTGTTTTATTAGCAGAATCTGGGTTTCGTGTTGCGTCTGTTACTAACAGTTCAATGTGGTAAGGAACTATAGTATTAAAATATAGTATATATATCAGCATTTGGCTTTTGTTAATACACATGTTATTTACAGGGAGCAAAATACAAGAATGGTTCATATACCTGCAGATTGGAAGACATCAGAAAAAAATATACGGTATAAAATAAATCTTGTATTGAACAACTTGCAGAATACTCAATCAGATTTAATTGTGTTTAATTTGGAAGATAAATTGGTAGTCAATTTGTGTTCACGCATAGGAGAGCAACAGATGTATAGTATGATTGTAGATACCTTAAAGTATGTAAACCCACACACAAGTAATTCATGTTTACGATATATGAATCTTAAGGATATATCGCATAGGTATAAAAAAATTTATAATTTTATTTATTTTATCGAACTTATACAAGAAACGTGTGATTTGTCTAACAAAATAAATTTTTCAGATTTAAAGATCAATTGTGTACACCTATACGTTCAAACATATTATCAACTTTAAATTTGAGTAATCCTAGTTTTCTGGGCCTGCCATTAGAATTACAAATTGAAATTGCATCTATGCTGGATACTTGGGAAATATGCCGTTTGGCACGATGTTCAAGGACCCTTTTTGATATTTGTTTAGATCCGATGTTGAACCTAAAGCTGAATAAAAAAAAACCGAAGGTATGTCAAAGGAATACTTCAAACTATTTCTAAATATTCCTAATGTGTGTGCGTTTGTTTAGAAACTCATACACATATTTGTGTAAAACATTGAGTGCATAGCGAAAGGACAATTTTTCTTTAAATTTGGATCAAGAAAGTTTTATCTCTATTGCTTTTGCAATTTATATAATTTTAATATCGACAGGTGGATAAACTAAATGAGAATCTTTATCGTATGTACAAGCGTCTTAAACGAGAATGAAACACTTACAGCTAATTTGGACAATAAATTGTGAGATTATTCTGAAAGTTTTATCAAAATGCTCTATACAGTATATGCCATGTATGAGCACATTTATGATTAACAGGAATGTTATTTTTTCTATTGTTTTGATAGTAAAAGTTAATTTAATGAATTATTTCTATTATGATTATGTTTGAAACTGCCAAATATTTACGGTCTAGGAATTTGTGCAATATTCTTTTTTTTTTTAATTTTTTTTTTTTCAAAATTTTATTTTTTCCATTTTAATAGTATTTTTGAACTTTTTTTATTTGGCAATATCAATCTATTAAATGCAAAATTATGAAATAAAGATGCAATTATAATATTTTGTAATATAACAATTAAATTTTTAGCTATATTATAATTTATTGCAATTATTTTTTAAAAAGTCTTATTACCTATATTCTTAATCAGTTATTTTGCAATCTCAATTTTTTCTTTTGCACTATTAATTACATCAAAAACAGTAATTTTCACTTCAGGAAGATAAATCTAATTGTTAAGTATAGAAATATACATTTCAATTATGGTCAAGTACATGGAGAAGAAATAATGGCAAGGACGTAGCGTTTTTTATGTACCATAGAGTTGTAACGTCAGTTGGAGGGGGAGCAGGCATAACCGGCATAACTGAGAGCACGCCATATTTAAACCTGCGCTTGTATTTGCATATTGTTGATTATTCGATATTAGCGACTTTCCAAAAGCGCCGTAACACATCTGTCACTCAATGCTTGCACAACAATTGTTTTCTGAATGTAATGAATCTGTTATCATTTTACAGGCACTCGGGCTTTGAAATCGTGATGAGTACAGTGAGTATATAGAGTAACACAAGTTAAGTGTTGAGGTTATACGGCTTTGGAAAATAGTGTTTTAAATTTAATCATCAATCATAACTTGAAAAACAAGTGATTTTGATACCGCAATGAATACTATTTCGATGGAGGAAGAGAAGAAGATCTTCAACTTTTTAAAATCACAAGGTTGCTGCTTGAGATGTTGCTTGCGTTTTATTGGATATCGTATGTCAGACTGTTATAGCAATCCCCTGGAATTTGCGGCACGAGTAAGTTTATTGTCCAAAATAAAAAAAAAAAAAATAAATAAAAAAGATAACATTAATATCTACATTAATAATAATCTCCGACTCAGTAAGAATATTTTAATTAAACATATAATATGAATATATATTGTCATTATGTATAATCATAGGTAATGTCATTTAGATCATTTAGATTTAAAATAAACATGTTTTGCAAAAGCTTTAGTGTTTTAGTTATATGAATTGTGAAAAAGTAATTTTATTTTGTATTACTTAATAAAGATTTGTAGTTTTTATACATTTTTATACATTTTTATACATTTATTATAGATGAATTACATCGATGATAAAGATGATTCTTCCAAAACACCTTGCATTGCATGTTTAGGAATCCTTCAGGATAAAACACAGGAAAACGTAATTACAAAAGTATGTGAAATATTAATAATACATATATATTTCTATACGTGTTTTATTTAATCTTGCATTCTTCAGATCTAATGCAATAAAAGTTATTAGTCTAATGTTCTCCAATTGTAGGTAGTAGAAGAAGTAAAGAAAAAAGATTACGACTGTGCAACTTTTATTTGTGCACTGACTGTTCCTGTGTCAATTAAACTTCGAGAACACATACTGTATGCTTATGTGTCCAAAGAGACGGGTACACATGAATCTATTACAAGTGCTCTTAGAACAAAACTACAAAATGTCAAAGATACTTGGAAATCGTTTATGATTTCAAAACTTGAACAAGCCATGGAAAAACATGCAGATTTGTCAACACCGTCACCTTTTCTCATTGAGATATTTTTATCATATGGTGATGATGAGATAATATTTCAAGAACTGTATGTATTTCTTAAAAATTTATATTGCTTGAAACAAAATCAGTATAATTGTTAATCATAATTAAAAAAATATTTCTTAAATAAGAGAAAATTTCTCTCTCTCTCTCTCTCTCTCTCTCTCTCTGTGATAAGCACATAGAAATTTTCAGAATAAACAAACACAAAGGAAGCAATAAGCAAACAAAAAGAAAATGCAATGATAATATATTTAGTAGAAAAAATTTAGAAACTTTGCTAAGTGAGATAACAGATGAACAATTTATAGACTATTTTAAAATCTCACAAATCATATCGAAAACATTTGTTCACGTGAATGACGTTCTATGTTCTCATAGCAGTATTTTTATAGGAGGTAATGATGCAACTTGATTGACTCGAGTAATTATTTACAAGCATTTACATTATTACAGCGACACAAGATTTCTTATACTTAAAAATTTTCAGGACGTTATAACAAATTCTCGAGAGAACTCAGTCAGACCCCATGGTTCATAAATGGCGAAAAAAAAGTGGAAACATCAGTGCAGGATTTGCTATGCAATTCTATTGCAGAAACTGTGAAAGCGGAATGTACATTTTACTGTGTTTATTCGCTCTACATACATATTTCATTACATGTACGCGTCTATTTTAACATTCAGTGAAATTTTTATATTTGTACAGCAATAAAATTCTTATCATCGGGACGAGAAGACGTCGATGTCAGAAATGTATACAGCGGCCGACCATTCGCAGTTGAATTGCTGAATCCACGCATGACGAATATCACGAGCGATCTTTTGACGCACTTAGCTGCTAGCATCAATCAATCAACTAAACAAGTACAAATAACATCAGGTTTAAAAGTTCTTTCGAGGTATGTTTTCGAAGGACAGTCAGAAGAATTAACAAATTAGAATTTATAATTAATTTATTTACGCATAAAATTGTTGAATAAATAATTAGTATTAAAAACATTCAGAATTAAGGAAATTAATTGAATATACATACATTGAATGTATATTTTCAGGCTCGATTTGAAGAAACTCAAAGAAGGTGAGAACGCTAAAACCAAGTTTTATCGAGCATTATGCGTTTGTGAAGGCGTAAACGGCAGTTTGCCGCAACTAGAAAATCTCAATAAATTGAAAAACATCAAAATCGTACAGAGAACACCAGTGAGAGTGTTGCACAGACGGCCATTGAGCCCGCGAACGCGTGTTATTTACGAGATGCGTGCGCGCTGGGCGAAACCGCATGAACTAAAGAAGTTGCATACCGCCGCCGAAAGTGTCGACGTGTTTTTCGTTCTCGATGTCAAGACGCAAGCGGGTACATACGTGAAGGAATTTGTGCACGGTGATTTTGGCAGGACCAAGCCGAGTTTGTCCGATTTTCTTAACGTTGATGTGGATATCATCGCATTGGATGTTACGGGCATCAACTTGAAATGGCCCTAATGCAGTTCGTATTTTCGATATAAATTTGTATTTAACTATAGAACTATATCTAATAAAATCGTCAAACGTAAAAGCTATCCTATCGTACAATCAAGAGAAACAACATTCCAATCAAGCAATTAAAAGGAATAAGTTTAAGCTTTTGGTTTTTTAGGCGAATCTTTGTGCTCCAAAATCCAGGGATGTTTTTTAACTTCCATCATGGAGATCCGTTCCGTGCTCTTTTTTTTTATTAACTGCAGGGAACAATTTTATAAATTAAGTATTTTTTTTTTTACACGCATTTTAATATAAAAATATGAAATACAATTGTCACCTTGGATATAAGATCTTTGGCTCCAGGCTTAATGTGTTCGGGCCATTGTATATTTAAAGATTTTATTTTCGTGTATGTTTCTTGCGTGGAGTTACTCAGAAACGGTGGTTGACCCGTGAGAAACTCGTAACAGAGTATCCCTAAGCACCAATGATCGACATAAATGTCATAAGTTTGTCCCAGCACCATTTCTGGTGGTAGATAATCTAAAGTTCCACAAAGTGTGTTCCGTCTGAAAAAAATTAATTTTAATATTTAGTTTTTTCATACAAAATACTAGCCTTACTAAATTAACAAAAGCATGGATTTTGTGCTTACTTAGAAGATGGCGCGTGCACAGACCAGCCAAAATCTGCAAGCTTTATATCTCCATCATATGTAAGTAATAAATTCTCAGGTTTTATGTCTCTGTGGATGACATCATTCTTGTGACAATATTCCAAAGCGTCGGCTACTTGGTAAGTATATTTAGCAGATCTGGCAAAGTAATCAAAGTGTGAGTAGTGTGTGAAATACATACAATAATGGAAACAAGATTATAAATACATACAAGTGTTCGCTAAATCTCTCATTTGGCTGACGTTTTAATTCTTTGTACAATTCACCTTTTGCAGCAAACTCTAATACTAAATAAATTCTCTTCTTATCGTGAAAGTATGTCAATAATTGAAGAATATGTGGATGCCTATAAAAAAAATGTAAATAGGTGGACATTTGAATTTGAAAGAGATGTTGGGCATAATTTGTATATATATGATGCACATACTTCAAATGTGTTTGTATTTCAATTTCTCGCATTACTTGCTTCTCCACACGTCCTTTCACTAATTCAACTTTATATAATGTCTTTAAGGCAACCATATAGTGGGTAGTTTTCTCCCTAGCTAAATATACACGGCCAAATTTTCCTCTTCCTAGAGGCGCTCCGATTTCGAAGTCATCTAAGCTCCATTGATGACTATTTAATAATATGAATTAAATCATTTTAGAACGCTTGAACTTCATAAAGCATAATATGTTTCGAATCTTATATCCTTAAAATCTTAGATAAACTGCAAATTTGACAATATACGAATGAAATAATACTTAATATTAATTTGTGAACAATTATACAATGTTTCTTATTTAATGCTGGTCATATATAGTTGTGACATTTAGTGCACAATATATTCACGTACTTTTTGCCTCTGTTATTAATATGGTCCACCATTTCATTCATTGTTTCTTGAATAGCTTCTGTGTACTCAGACAAAGTTGATGGCATTTTGAAATCCTGCCCATTGGTCATCATCAAATAGTATATTACACAATATTAATGTTGCTGAAAAAAACGTGATACGAATCAAAAACATGTACTTATCTTGAATCGATTATTATAGAAAATATCTATACTATTGGATATAATATGTTAACAAAATTATTCCTATAGTGTACTGACATTGTGTGTATATTATAAATTTATAAAAAGAAAGATTTTGTATAAATAATAATAATAATAAATAAGTCACTTATAATAACAAAATTAATAAATTCGTTTTGCTTGTCATTTATTTCGCAAATTTACATAAAAAATTAAAGTTTGAATAAAATTAAATTAAAACGTGAAGAAGCCAACGCCGGTTCTTCGTGTGAAAAGAACATGTATCGATATTACAAAACAAACATTTGACATTGAGAAAGGCCTGAAACGTTCTTTTCGCACGAAAAACCGGTATTGGCTCCTTTCGCTTCACTTAATTTGATTTTTAATTATTTAAGCCTGTATATATAATATGCAAATTTATAATAAATAAAATTAATTTTCCACAATTTGTTAGCACTCATTATCATCCAAGGTTCACTGAGAATTTTCTCATAATATTATTTATTTACCTTTAGTAAATATAAAAATATCAATGCAGTCTTAAAATGTGTTAGAAAATGTTAAGAAAAAGTTGTTTCAAAACTTCTCACAGACAAGTATCACAAGTATAACTTCCTTAGACTTCTCGAAAAAAATAACTGCCTTCTTCGCTTCCACAGATAACTGACATCTCACTAACTGATATTTCCCTCGCATTTAAATCTTTAAATTTTAGGTTATTAACAAGCGACATCTGTGAAGGTTAAAGGCCGAAGCACAGCTTTTATATAAACCATAACGCATAAGGAAAACAACCAATCAGAGTTCTTTATTTTCATCCCCACTTCTTATTCTGCGGATCTCTGATCGGTTGATTCCCTTATGCATTATGGCTTATATAAAAGTCTGTGCTCCGGCCTTAAGCCAGCATCAGACTATGGGCGGTATTCATAGTCCGTTCTTATATTCAAAATCGTCTTAAGCACGGACTTATATTCGCTCTCTTCGTCACACATAGATTGTGTCTGACAAAGAGAGCGAATATAAGTTTGTACTTAAGACGATTTTGAATATAAGAACGGACTATGAATACCGGCCTAGGTAGGGATTCAATGTCGCTCTGTCTATTTAACCCTTCTTTCTCTCTTTTGATGTAGAGCATTTCTGAGGTGAGTCTTTTCGAATATGTCGGTTCTTCGTTTACTAGTATCTGAACATTCTTCCAATCGAAATCATGGGTGGAATCCAATTTATGACGGAAAATGACAGAGGAAGAGCCACTTTTTTTACTAATATCCGTCCTATGTTCTTTGATTCTTATGATCAACTGTCTTTTTGTCTGTCCCACGTAAGAAGCCTCACAATCCAAACAAGAGATCTTATAAACTACATCACAGTGGGACAACAAATCCAAATTATCTTTCCCCGTTTTGATAAATTTTTTAAAATTTTTAGGAATTCAAAAGGCCTATTACGCGCTATGAGGAAGAAGACTAATAACTTTTAACAAAACTAGTATCTTTTAAAGAGAATAAAGGTCTTTATTTGCTGTGCGTCTGCTTTGCAAGAAAGCGCCAATTTATCTTTTATAAAATGTGTTTGCTCGGCGCAGTGTAGAAATTAAAAGCACAAACATTGAGATAAATTTGTAGAAGATATCTCTTCTATTCGTCCTTCTAAATAACAGATTAGACTTGTCCTCAGTAAAAATGTCGAGAAATCTCTTTGGCAAAATTATTAAAAAATAAAAATCAACAGATTTGCAACCACCTAAATTTTAGAAGAGAAAATACATAACAAAATCATATTCTTCAATCCAAGAACTTTAAACTGAAAATTTCATTGTAAGAATTGCTTCGCACAATACGCTATTTTCTTCTTCATATTATAATGCCAGAAACCTTCGTAGATATTTAAATCCTAAAAATGCCTCTTTCTTAAATTAAAATGGAAAAATATGCAACGTTGTTCTGGACAATTCTCTAAGTGGAATCTCACAGAATTATGAATCTAGACAACTTCTATCATGATTCAAAAATATCTAATCGTGTTACGCTTATTAGCATGTTATTTCAATACAATAAACTTGCGTCAGTTCGAAGACTGTGCGTCATCATCAGCAATGATGATTCACATCTATCCCCGTACAATACTCGCTTCATTACGCAATTCTGAGCTTTGCAATAATAAATAAAAGGTTTATTGTAACAAGAATTAAATTTAAAAAATTGGGAGAAATTGAATTTAGATTCGTACAAATGAGTTAAATTTTAACAGATTTTAATTTTAAACCCCAAAAAATTTTGATTAATTTTCTACTACACAGTATGTCGGAAAAATAACGGAACTTTAAAAAAAAACAAAATCAGTTATTTTGCCAAAATTATTTCTGTTTATTCAAAATACATCCCTTCCGCATTAATACACCGCTGTGCACGTTCAACCAATGCTAGCATAGACTTTTTTATGTCGTCTTTCGGAATTGCCTCAATGATCCTCGTCACAGCCTCTTGAACTTGTGTAACGCTGTCATAAAACGTTCTTTTCATAGCCAGTTTGAGTTTTGGAAACAAAAAATAGTTACACGAAGATAAATCAGGTGAATACGGAGGATGTTGAAACACACAGACTTGTTTTTTCGCCAAAAAATTCACGAACTGCGACGGTCCTGTGAGGTGTGCATTATCGTGCAAGAAAACCAACTTTCCGGCGCTCGATATTCAGGCCTCACTCGAATGATTCTCTTCTATAAACGCTCCAAAACACCCAAGTAATATTCACCTGTGACATTTTGACCGCTTGGAACGAATTCCCGAAGAATAATACCTTTGGAATCGTAAAACAAATTAACATTGTCTTCTCTCGTGACTTCTGGAAATGCAATTTTTTCGATTTGGAGAGCCTGGGGACTTCCACGTTGCACTTTGGCGCTTTGTTTGAGGATCATACTTAAAGCACCATGTCTCATCACCAGTTACAATCGATTTTAGAAATGTGGAGTTTCGTCTGGCTGTTTTGATGAGGTCCTTGCAGTGTTCAATGAGAGCAATTTCTTGGTCCTCATTTATGGCGTGAGGAACAAAACGAGCACAGACTTTCCGTTTGTTTAAATCCTTTGTCACAATTTCGTGAATCATGTCTTTGGTCGTATTTAATTCCTCCGTCATCCATCTCACAGTCGAATTCGGTTCATTGGCGATCATTTCACGCACTTTTCTACCAACTCTTTGCGATTTTTATCTTTTAGGCGGCCTACCCTAGGATCGTCTTCCAAAGCTTCACGACCGTTCTGGAATCGCTTGTACCACTCGAACACATGTGTACGGGATAAGCAATCATCACCATGAACTTTTTTCAGCAATTCAAATGTTTCCG